TGGGGACCGGGCAGGGCTGGGGGAAGGGTTGGACTCATGAGCTTAAAGATCCCTTCCAGCAAACTGATTCTATTTAATGCTGCAGTGGAACCCATCCGAGGTCTGCAGCATTGCTGCTGTGCTGATCACAGAATCATAGCACACTTTGGGTTGGAAGGGGCCTCTAATCCACACGAGCATGGCAGGTTTTCTTCTATTAAAGCCTTTATTGACCTGTATTTAAAAATAAAAAGAAAATCTGCAAAGATCAGAGAGCTGCTCAAGACATTTTCATACTCATTGAGAAATGGCTTCCTGGCGTGGACTGAACTTCTGCTGGGCTCTTCAGCCGTGGCCCCTGGGTGTCTTCATCACCTCCAGGGACACTGATGCAGTGGTGGGATCTCCTGCCCTGCCCGAGGGCAGCAGCCCCGTGGCTCCATTCCCCTCCCGTCCCCCGGGATGCCACAGCCCTAGGGGACAGCAGGAGCCAACCCCACTCTGTTATTCCCACGATCAAAGACAGCGTAAAACCGGCGGATGAAAACATCACCCAAAATCCAGAGGGGTCCGCCGGGAGGGGGGATGTCCAGCCCCTGGAAGCCACTGGTGCAGAAGGCCATGCCATCGACGTACTCCTGGGGAAGGAGAATTCCAAGCTGGGGACAAACCTGGGAGCCTCGTGCACGTGGAAAGACACAGGAGTGGTGGCTGCGGGCCCTGTGCACGAGGCTTTGGGGCTCGTCACCCGCTGGGACACGTGGCTCGGCTCCCGGGGTGGCTCTGGGCCACCTTTGCCTCTGGAGGCACTGGGAATCGGGGTGGAGGTGTGGGTGGAGCTGCAGCCGTACCGTGAGGGTGTAGGCCTGGGCACTGAGGGTGTAGGGGAGCCCGTTGATGGTGAAGGTCACGTCGGGCATCGCGCTGAGATTGCTGCAGTCCACAGCGTACTGTGAAAGGGCCGGCTGGCTGAGCGGTGCTGCTCCACGGGAGGTCCCCCCTGGCAGGGTGAGGGTCCCAGGGCTTGTTCCCCTGATCCCCCCCGCCCTCTCTCTCACCTCTCCGTCCACAGGCGTGGCACCAATGTAGCTCTGCATTTCTTTTGCATCCTTGGTGGGACCTGTGATGAGCGATGTGCCGGTGTCCACGATGGCCTGGCAGCCGTCAGCACAGAACACGACTGTCCCCCCCACCTGGATGCTGGAGGAGGAGGAGAAAGAGAAGGACCAGGAGGGACTCCTCCTGCTCCCCTGCCCCAGCCCAACCCTTCGCTCCCTGCCCAGCACCACTCACTTGTCCAGCTGGATCTGCCAGTACCCTTGCTGGGTGACTGGCACCCAGTTCAGGGTCCCTGTGAAGCGAGAGGGGTCAAAGCCACCAAAGATCAGCTCTCCTCCCATGGAGGATTCGGGGTTCCTGGAGGGAGGAGGAGATGTGAGGGATTTCCTCTCTTTTACTTTGCACGTTTCATTTCAAACAGGTGGGTTGTACCCACTTGCTTCCCACAAATGCTTAGGGAGGGTCATTCCCTTAATTCCTGTATGAATGAGCTCTGTGATGCTCAGCATGGCACCAAAAAACCTCTTTACTAGCCCAGTAAAACATCCTTATTTTAGCAGCCCCCCCTGAAAGCAATGCCTGAGTCTAAGAACAGCCCGGAGCAAAGCCGTGTCCGTACGAGCTCATGTAGATGGAGAACATGGGCAGCTCCACCAGATTTTGTGCCATCATGTTGTCAAAGACAGGGGTGACCCCATCCACGGCCAGCGAGGGGTAAGCCAGCCCCAGGATCCCATCGAACTCGGCATCCACAAAGGCTTTTCCTGGCTCACTGATGCTCTCTGCAAACTGCTGGTTGCTCACAGTGAGGCCCTCGACCTGCAGGGAGGAGGAGACCCGATGCCCAGGCTGTAGGCAAGTCCCAGGCACGTTGTCCAGAGCTGGAGAAAGCAAAGGTGACTCACGACTACTTGGTCAGATCCAATGATCCCTGTCAGACTGCCAGTCCCATACTGGATGGAGAAGGGGGTTCCTACCACCTGGTAGGTGCTGGACTGCGAGGGCTGGAACCTGGCGTGCTGAGCTGGGGAGGGAGATGGGAGCTGTCAGTAGGAATGGTCTTTATCTGCTCAGCCACGGATGCCAGGAGACCCCACCACGGCCTCAGAGCAAACCCCTGGGGCAGCATGGCAGGGGGGATAAAACTTCCCTCCTTTCAACCTGCCTGGAAGGGGTGAGGGTTGCCAAAGGAAGGGTTTGCAGGGAGGGGTTAACTCATGCAGTGTATTGAAAAGAGCTGGAGATGGTCTCTGCTGCTCCTGCTCTGCAGCCCCACCGGCTGCTCCCAGATCCAGCCGTTTTCCCCAGCCCACCCTGGGCTCTGCTGGAAGCACCCGAGGCACCCAGAGCTGTGCTCACCAGGGTGGCTGTCACTGGCAGCCCCAACAAGCCCTGTGCCTGTCACCCCCGGGCAGGCAGCCCAGAGCTGTGCCATGCTCTCTGTGCCTGCCTTGTTCTGCCACCCAGCCCTGGCTGACAAGCTATATTATGTGCTATCATCTTTGCCTGTTTGTTTAAAGGCTCTCCCATAAGAATGGCCTAAAGAGCACGCCTGATATCTCCCATGGGGTGCTGGTGCTGGGTGCTGGTGGTGTGATCACTGCCTGTGCCTGAGCAAACAAACGCCCCGGGGCTCCCCAGGCTCACCCCCCGGGGCTCTGGTAGCCACGTGTGCCGTGCAGGGCTCAGCTGGGAGGGGACATCCCCCCAAGGACCCCGAGCTGTGTGTGCTGGGGCCACCCTGGAGGGTCAGCTGGGGTCCCATCGCCCATGGTTAGCAGGGGAGCCCCTACTCACTGCAGGCTTTGCTGACACAGTAGACGGAGGGCACCCAGAGGTTGGAGGAGCCCGTGTCGAATATCACGGTGAAGTTCTGGGGCGGGGTCCCGATGGAGATCTGCCCAAAATATTCCATCTGGCAAAGAGCAGAGCTGTTAGACATCAGCCTGCCCAGAAGTTCTGGCAGAGCACTGATGGGGGCCCTGGAACTCAGGAAGGGTTTGATTTGTCACAGCCGTGCCATGCCAGGTGAAATAAAGGAGCCACGTATTGAAGGAACAACAAGGCAAGCTGAGGACAAAAGGCAGGGTGGTGAGTGTGGGTGCCACCCTCTTCCTGCTGGGTTCAGTGGGAAGGCTGGGCCCCGAGGGGACCCCCATCAGCAGGGTGCAGACAGTGGCAGGGGCTCTGGGGACACGACCCTCACGCTGTGGGGAATGCGGCGAACTTGGGGAGCACCCTCCACCTCTACCTCTGGGTCCTGTGTGGTGTGATACGTGTTGGGTTTGGAGGAAATGTGTCTCCCTGCTGTGTGCCCCAGGAGTGCAGCGGGCAGGGAGAGGGCTGGCAGCACCCGCCTGCCATGAATGTGCTGCCTTGTTCCCTCTCCTCATCCCATTCCTGGGAACAAAGGACTGGGCAGGAGCGGGCAGGCAGCGGGCCCTGGCACGCTGGGCACTGGCTGCCAGTGTGCTCTGTTGGCAGGCCTGGGCTTCGTGGGGAGCACTGGGGCATTGGGGACCACTCGTGCAAGCTGATGTGCTTTTTGGGGTGCCTGTGGCCCGCTGCTGGGACCCAGTACCCCCCAGCCCTTGGTGCCACCATGCTTACGTCCAGGTAGTTGATGAGGGGCTCGCTGGCCTCTGTGAAGGCAGAGCAGTCCTCCCTGTACTGGACCATGTCGAGCTTGTGGGCTTTCCAGAAGTGGGAGAGCTGCCCCCGGTCCCGCAGCAGCTTCCGCAGGGAACGGTGCCGTGTCAGGGTCACCCTGGGGGAGCCAAATCCTGCTCACTCCCCTGCAGCTGAGGATGCTGCCGCTGTCCTGAAGTCCCCACGTCTGCCCCGAGGCTCTCAGCACCACCAGGATGCAGGTCCAGAGCCTGCTCCCCTGCATCCCCCACCCAAACGCAAGGCACTGTGAAATGGGGTGGGGAGGGGGGGCTTGATCTGCTTTAGGACTCATCAAATCACGGGTGAAGCTGGCAGGAGAGTGTGCACAGCCCAGCACCCGTGGGATGGAGCTCCACGGGACTGCTGGTAAAGCACCTTGAGCCTGGCAGCAGGGACCAGAACCAGGGTGAACTCATGCTGGCCTTTTCTGCCCCGTCTGCTCACACAGACCTTAACTGGAGCCTGAGACTCACCCTGCAGACCTCCCTGCAGCCCACTGCTGCTGCTGGGCTCTGCTGGG